GAGAAAATTGAAGGTTTCTACCCTACCTGGTTCAGATAACTGGATTCTTTTTTCCTTGCATATTTTAAAAAAAACTAGGTCTTTTTATGCAAGACATGAGTGGTGTTTTAAAACACAGGAGGACTGCAGTAGCTGTGAACCTGCAGCACCATCCCTTTAGTAGCTCTGCAGCTGTGCATCATATTTGCACCCACTCCCTCTGGAACTTCATGGATTAAAGGTCCTCATGGTCCAAAATCTGGGCTATTTAATGAGCCAAAAAGACTGAAAGAAGTAGTAACAGTTACCTTCCAGTGACATAAAATTATTTGGAAACATAGATTAAGTTTGTGGTAGTTCGAAGTTCTGTATCCTTACAGTTCTTACTGCTGGGCTTTGCACTCTGCTGAAACCTAATCTACATTTTCAGCAAATATGTTCAGGTCTTTCCATAAGCTCAGAGGAGGGAGTGGTAAGCATAAACACTTTTTGGTTTCTGAGATTTTCTGGTTGTGCTCCCTCAATGACACCCCACTTCTCTTGATTAGGTCTTTTCTCTTACTCTTTTTTTTTTTTTTAATCCTACTGGCCTTTTGCACTCTTATCTATTTATTGATCTTGTTTCCATTAACTTGCACTTGGTTGCTCTCTGCTCATTTAGGAGGGCGCACAACTGCAGGATTTCTGCTACCCCCTTCAGCTGCTCCATTTACAGCCTCTGATTGCAAGAGTTGTCCCACCCAAGGATACTTGCCATGCTTGCTTAGCGTGTGTTGCAGCAGGAACACAGAACTCATCATTCCTAGGCATGGGTGGTTTTTAAACATGCAGAAAAACCCATGACCTTTTTCTTCCACTAGTTTTCTGGAAGGAATTGGCTTATAATCCTTATTCCATTGGATCACAAGTGTTCTGTCTTGACTGGGACACTTAGAATACAGGCAAATACAGAGCTTTCTAGGGAACTTTGTTGTTCCTCTGCACTCTGGGATGTGGTGATAGTGCTGAGCTGCCTTTGAGAGCACCCAGGGATAGTGCTGCTTAATCTGTAGCTGCTTAAGCAAAGGTGAGAGGATCTGGATGGTGATAAGACTGTCTTTGCATTTCTCCTGCCCAGGTTTATCTTAAACACTTTGCTGGCAAGCTCTGGTGCAGAGGGAGAGCACCTCTCTGGCTGTGAAGCCTGTGTCATCGGTGTCTCATCAGAGTGTTGCACTGCATTTGAACACTTACTGTTTATATGTTTAGGGCTTTAGCTTCACCTACTCATCAAGTGTTCCCTCACCAAAATTCTCTCCCCCTCCTAGTGTGATATTCAGGCAGGGATTTCACAGTGCTGTGTTCCATAGCACGGGCCTCATTAGGGATTAGGGCTTTGCTTGTGCATTCACTGCACCTACTCCAGCTTCTTTTCTACAGGGTTTGCAAGTTGTGAACTACAAAGGAGGTCAGAGAACACTGGGACAAGTGATGTGCACCACACACCGGCAGTGCTCCAAATTTGCCTTGTATCTCACTTCACCAAATACTCTTTTGAATCAATTGCAGCCTTCATACCAGTTCAGTTGATAAATTACATTCATTTTATTGTAAATTAGTTACGAGCAGACACGATCAATGAACACAAAACATTAGGTATGGCCTGGGTTCTAAAAAAGAGGAAACACCAAAAGGGAGAACTGCAACCACCAGAGTCTGGATGTGCAGTGAGGTCAGGAACAAATGTTGAGGGAGGCTGAGAAAAGGGAACACTTCTTTCTTTTGTTGCCTTTATCTGCTTTGTTGTGATGGAGGGAAAGAAACATGATAGAGGAGAAACAGTAATGAACTTAATGTAAACATAACTCAACAGTTGAGTATTTTTATGATCATTCAGTACAGACAAGCCCACCAACACACACTGCTGCTCAGAGTCCAAATGCAGTTACTGGTATAATTACCTGCTCTGTACTTTGGCACATCAGGACCTTCCTGAGTTTTTGCAGCGTCCAGCATTTGCGTTGGACGTGTTTCCACGTGTTCAGCAGAGACCTTGCTGCCCACAGAGGCTACCAAGTACATTCAGTTCAGTCTTAACGCTTGTACCTGCTCCCTCCTGCATTTTCACAATGATTGTGTTTTCCAGTACTCCGTTAGAAACACTAGCAAAATATTAGAATCAAATTAAGGAACTAATTCTGTTCACATGAGCTACTGCCATCACAGGCTACTGCCATGCAGGTCCTGGTGTGCAGCTGGCAGGGACATGGGGTTTTTCTCTGAAGGAATGAGTTTGCTATTTGAGTATAGGTCACCTCCTGTTCCCTTTCACTTCAGTGCAAACAGGTCTGACTGCAATAATTATAAAACAACTGGGGACTCAAAGTGACTTTTAAAGCTGCATTTAAATTAAAACCTGAAGAGTAAAGAGCAGTGTCTGTAGAACATTCCTTTTTGCATAATACACATTATGAGGGTAGTATTAAATTATTCAGAATGACATTTTCCTCTGGAAATTACCACTAATAAGTTTTCACCATGGGAGCATAAGGGGTAGAGGTTCTTAGAAACTTTTGGAGTTAGCTGGCTTCTAAAACTGACTGGAATGCTCAGTAGGAACAGCTAACCAGTGGGTTAACCAGCAGGTGTGGTTTCACTTCCAGTTGGACCAAAGCTGAAAGACTCCCAGCTTGCCCTGTGCTCCCTCAGAAGATGGTGTGGAGTGTTCTCAGAGCAACCTGCAGTCTTGGAACCTTTTGTCTGCTGAGAGGACAAGAGCTCAGACCTCAAAAAACAAGGCTGGTTCTTTCTGCATTACCCAAACGCTACCAGAATAAGATTGGTTCTTAGTAAAAGACAGTAAATAGGCCTCAGATACACAACATCTGCAGTCCTTTCCCAGTAGACACTATTTGTGTCAGCTTAAATAACTTGGACCTTTTAACTGAAAATTCCGTAAGTACAACAGGAAAATGTTTTAATCGGTCAAGTTATCAATGTCAGCAAAGGTCAGTTTTCTAAAATTAGTTCACATCTCTAGACAGTGAAAAATACTGTGCGCTGAAGTCTGCTAAGAAACATTTTCTTATACCTCAACAACTACAAATATCCAGAGCAGGTAAAAAACAAACTCATTCTGCTCTAAGACCAAGAAGCAGTTCAGAATAATTATATATCAGTCATTTCTTGCTGAGCAAGGAAATGCACAGGGAAACAGAGAAATCAATCATGTTTTAGTTCTGCCAGTTAAAACAGAATCCATTCCAACAGCTCTCCCATCCTTCAGGACTGAAGATCATCTAGACATTGATCTGGCTTTCAGCAGTTTTCCACTGGGGAAGCTCCCTGCCATCTCCATTTGCAGCACAGTCTTGTCTGTGGAAAGAAAGGGAGCACCTGGAGCCAGTACTATGGTCTCTGAGCTATAGGTACTGCTTGCTGCCTGCCGGAAGAAAAAAGGTGCAAGAACTTGAGTTTAATGGCATTTTGTTAATTATTTTCCATGGCCAAGGCCTCTCACAAGCCATGTGAAGTCTGTCCTAGAGCAAAGCTTGAGTTGCACTGTCACTTTAATCTGGTACATGCAGCTCTGCTGCTGAGTCACCCCTCCTTTCTCTACCCTCATTTTCCTATTCCTGTCCTTCTCTTATGCTGGAACAAGCATTTTTCTAGCTTTGTAGTAAACTGATGTGTATTAAAAATGACATGGTTTGTTTAGTTTTGTTTACTGCATCAGCATTGGTACTTGTGCCATGACAAGCAGAGTGCCTTTTTGATAGCACTGCTGTTTATTCATGCTTGCGGAGTTAACACTGTGATTCTCACAAATTCCAGAAAGTAAGGGTGGAAATTCTCTAAATAGTGTTTTGTATCACTGAGGAGGCTGCTTTCCATCATTTTGCTAGTACTGCATCCACAACACATCAACAGCACTTGTAATAATGTTAAAATACGAAGTCTGTACATGGTTGTTTGAAAACTGCAAATTCATTCTGGCTTTCTGCATACTAATTTATGCAGACAGGCCCAAAGCTGTCTGCATGGAACAGGGCCAGAAGACTTTGTGCTAAAAAATAAACTACATTAAAAAAAGAGTATAATTGGCTCATTTCGCCATCTTCAAAAATTTCCTGTATACAGGGCTGAAAAACATGCTTATAGAGATCTAGTGATTAATTTAGGAAACTCCCTGGCATCCCAGCTCCTTGAGGAGGCTACGGGACAAGTGCTGGAGCAATGTCTGGGCTTTCACCAAGTTGTATCTCTACAGCTTAGGGGGCATTTGCAGGTAGCACTACTGACCACTTAGCCTGAATACCAGGTACCACAAATTATCCCCTCTACACACCCCAGAGAGAACAAGAGCCACTATTTTTAGTTTCTATTATTCCACCTCCCCACCAAACACAATCAGAGCTGGGCTGATGTCATCTCTGATGGCAGCAGTCAGCACCAGACCCTCAGGTCTGCTGTTAAACCAAAACAGCTATTTCAATTCAATACCATCCAGAACTGTAGGGCACAGAGTCAACATGTACCTACTCAGACAAGGTGCTGGAGAAGAATCTACAATGTTTTTCACAGAGTAAGGAAGTGGGATAAGCCTAAGAACAGTTTCCATTATGTACTACAGGAGTATTTTTATACATGAAGGATCCAGTAAGAAGAAAATTCACATTTAGTTCAAAATTTAAATTCTAGAAACCTGAGGGATTCTGACAAAAAAAAAAAAAAAAGGGGGGGGGGGGGGGGGAAGGCTTTTTCTTTACTATTGAAAACCTCACATTTCATAAGCAAACTGAAAACTGTTAAAAGGTTACCTCTATGTTTATGAATGAAAAATAACAGATCAATTTAATGCCATTAGTACAGTATTCAGGCTGGAAACATAGCAAGTAGTATTGCCTGCATTATTCCATTAGTATAAGCTGCCTTTAAAGTCAAAGGAAAATAAGAATGCTTCTATACCTAACTTAAACTAATCAAAATGCATGTACCTTTAGACATGCAAAAGCACTTGGCAAGAACTGCTAAAAACAAACTGATATTATAGGGTTTAATTTATTTCATCTACAAGAATCTACAATTAGAAAAGTCTCATCTTCAAACTTTATAGTACATTTACATTAGCAGATACTCCACAGCTGTCCTCACTCCTCCCCTTCTGTACAAATCATACACAATAAAAGTTTTGTTTTACAAACATTGCTTTACACCCTAATATAGATGAAAATACTGTTCTCTGCCACCTCCTCCATGGTGCCTGTGTATTACAGCACAGAGCACTTTGGATCTGTGCTTTTGGAATCTTCAGCTCAAGTAATACGGACTGATCAACAGGCCACAGCTTCTGCAACTTCAAAGTTTTAAATAATGAGAAAATCTACCACTTGTTTGTATAACAATCAACAGTTTATTAATGGATATGGTGAAATTTTAGCTATCCACCAAGGATGTGTAAAAAATTGTAATGAAAGTAAAAATAAATAAAGCTGTTTTTAAAATCAGTCTTGTTTTACATCTCAGTTCAGAATGCAACATTGAACATAAAACTGTCATGAAAATTTTAAAGTCTACTGATATTCAAATTACAGCTTTTATGACAAATCTAATGAGAACTGAAACTGATTTGGTTTTAGGTTTAAAGACTTTCACATTCAAATACAGTGTCTCGTTTAGCACAATACTTCCTTTGACAGTGATGGGCAACAGTGATGACATATTGCTGTATTTTGACATAAGGCACTATGATATGAATATGCCATACACTTGCCTTATGTCACATATATCCATTGCTGACCAGTGACTTCTGTCAAATACAAAATGAAGTTTCAGAATACAGTGCATTTTAATGAAGGACATCATGTGAAGTCTTCCAGCAAATGTTTCGAAGACATTTTGAAATACAAGCCTACATTTTAACATAAGCTTTTGTCATGCTGCTTTTTTGTGACATCACTGGGGGGAATAGACTCATCATCCATCACTAAGTCCCAATACACATTCCCAACCATCCTGCTCTGTTCTACTGCAGTCACTGCTCTTGAGACAAACTTGACCCAGAAACTTTGTTCAAGTTCTCCTACAAACATGTATACATTCACAGCAGTCATTCACTTTCATTCTCCTTTTGTTTGGCACCTGTTAACAGAAGAGGAAAGCAAGTGTCATTTCCTTATGCATGTAACACTTGGCTCCTGGAAAAGCATGGCTCAGTCTGAATGCTTCAACTTGGACCACATTATCAGAACCTTAGAACTGGAGAGCATTTATGAGAAACACACTTCAGGATTGCTAAATGCTAACGTAAAACAGAGTGAGGAAGGCCTTGAGACCGTGACTGCTTCTAACTTCATTGGCAAGGTAGCCTAACTCTTCTGGGAAGTTACTGAAAGTAGCTTTGAAAATTCTCCCCTGCACAAAAAATTATCTAAAAAAACCCAACCAACTAAACAAAAAGCCACATTCCAAACGAGTTCATCAGCTTAGAAGCCAAGCTTAATCATCATAAATGCCTCCAAAAATGAAGTCCTGCTTGAGAACAACCTATATAGGAATTCAGTTTAACTGCACTGTGTTGGTGGACCCATTTTTCCTAGCTCAGAGGCAGCTTTTGCTTATAGTAGGGATCTGAGATCTGTTTGGCAGAACTGTAGAGCACCTTACCGCTTCTTTAAGTACCCAAACTAGCTGCACACCGGGCAATGACTGAACGCTGTGCTGAGTCTGGCTCCAGCATCCAGCTCTAAGAGAGCAAGAATCTGTTGCCAGCAACTTGGAGCTACTACTTGTAATGTATAATCAAGTGCTGAAACATTCATTAAATGCATCCAGTTTTCACATCACAACTGATACTTCTACCCCTTAATGTAGGATGGTCTTAATTCCTGACAGCAAATACATTTTCCTTTCTAGTTTGAAAAAAAATATGGAGATTTTAGGGCATGATTTATCTGGTTTTCTTATGCATCTACTTTAAGAGATAAATCATACTTCAGGCTCTACAAACTAGATCTACATTGCAGACCACCTCACTTTGTGAGACAAGTCACAATCTGAAACTATGCAGCTGCCTGTGGAACTGCAATCTAACGCTTAACTGCTCCTGGAAAATGCCTTCCTTCACCTCATCTCTTCCAGTGGCATAATCCTGCCCTCTCTCTTGCTCTAACCCCTGCACTCAGTACTAAACTCTTCTGTGAGCCAGTTTAGTGTGTCCAACTGACAAAATCCTGCAACTTTTTTGCTGGCTCAGTTTCGTGTTAGATCAATGAGTTAAAGCATCTCACAGAGACATCTCCTAAGTTTGGATGCTGCCACATGCTAAATGCCAGAAGCACATGGCCCAGAGGCTGGGAGCAACAACTGCCCTTTTTAATTACAGAGCACTGTTGTATCAGCTCAGAGTTGCAACTTAAGTGTCCATTTCATTCCAGTATAACAAAGCTCTTGGTTTGTCAGTATCCAGATTTATCTTTTCTTTCTAAACTTGGATCCATGAATAATAAGATTTATTCTCTAGTCACTGGGGAAACTACCTCCTCTGTCTGGAGAGGCACTGTCTGCCTGTCTTTACATCTCCCTCCTAGGGGGCATATATACTCCTCCATTCTCTTTCTACGCAATGAGCCCATTTGACTCAGTCCTGGTTTCTCATACTTTCACAGAAAGCTGGATTACATACTTCTCCAGGTCCCTGAAAGGAACTAGATGCACTGACATAAAACTTCCAGCAGTACTATCAGTTACTTCTTTTTGAGAAGTCTTAGTATTTAAAAAAGCTACATTCACTTTTAAAAAAAAAATAATCTACAGATGAGCAAGACTTTTGCATTATCATGTTACCTATCAGTGCAAGTATGAAAGTATGAAATCCTTTAATGAAAGTTAAGCTTGCATTTAGACTTTCTTTTCTGAAGGACATATCCAGTTCAATTTGTTTAGTCTGATATTTTGAGGCAAAATTCTAATCAATAATTTGACTTCCTCTCAAAGCCATTTGACTTCCTCACAATGCCCAAAGAGGGCTTTGCTTCAGTTGTTGTGACACTGAAATAATTTATGTGGTCAAAGTTAAATTAGTAACAAAGTAGGTTGGTAACTTGGGCAAAATGTTAAAAAAAACAACAAAACAAAATCAAAACAAAACCAAGCCCCCACCCAACATAAAAGTAGTATAAATCAACCTACTGTTGGATTCTTTTGTTAAAAGGAACCTGATCATGTCTAGTAACACACTAGATATTTCTATTGGAGTACTTCTGGTGGGCTGGGGTGATGTCTCTGCCGTAGTTGTGCCAAGCAAAACCCACAGGACAGCAGGACAACTGCAGGACTTGCAGAGCTAGTGGTGAGCACAGCTGCATCCACATGAAGAGCACCTGGCCAGAGCACTGAAATTCAGGGAAGTGGGGAGGGTACCCTACTGTAGATGCCCTCTATACGTGCAAAATTCAACTTCATCCTGTTTTTACTTTTAAAACATAAAGAGCTTTTTTTCTAAAAGGAAAATGCTTGTACAGCAATGGTGTTCATGAAGCTTCTGCATGCATTCCTCAGTGAGCAAAAGACTGACAGTTAATATTTTGTCAGCTTTTTCCTGAAGAGAATGAAAAGCATATTGAAGAACTATGATCAAACAGTTACAAAAGCTGAAAAATCAAAAGTTTGTCATTGTCAAATGACAACCAGCAGGGTGGACACACTGCCAAATGGCTCATGGCAAAGGACAGAAGGCAACATCCATACCTGCTGGTGTGAGTACCAAAGCTTGTAGAATGTCAGAAAGGGAGATGATCCCCACGATGCTATCTGCTTCATTCACTACCACCAAACGATGAACCTGCAGTAGGGAAAATATCTTGAGACATTTGCCCGTTTTAAAATAATAGTCAAAGCAAAGAAAAACAAAACAAAAAATGCAATATGAAAGCAAGTAGGAAAAAAAGAATGGTTAATAATATTAGCAATTCCAATCTCACACAGCAATACAAACATGCTTACCCTACATACGTAAAAAAATAATGCATGTTTAAAGAGCCCACAGCTACCTGACAGGACCACAAGATCTGAAGTGACAGCTAAGCTGAGATTTAGGTCCTTAAAATACTTCTGCTCTCAGAAAGTGGCTCTCATATCAAACACTCTTCCCCAACTTAGAGGCTGTGCCCAACTCAGCATGCAACCTCAAAAAATAAGGTACAGTAATAAAATGAGGCTTCCTTCTGAAAACTACTTGCTCAACAGAGAAAGGCACAGCACTAAAACTTGTTGTATCTTGACATGTCCAAGTTGGCTTTAACCTACTATTCTTGTAGGGCTACACAACTGGAAGTGACTGCCAAAGTGGTTTTAAAATCTTCAGTTTACATGAAGGCTCAGTGCAAAACTTTCAATTTATTTGTGCAAATTCACTGTAGAGTTAACAAACACAAGGACACAACTTGGATGAAACGTTTATCAACAGTAAGACTGTATTTTAAAATAAATTATTTTATAATTAACAAATCTATTCTAGGAAATATTTTATGCTACAAAACATTTGTTCTAACTGTGGAGAAAGTAGGTGGGTAGTCCTGTATCCTGAGGCTCACTGGCCAGGGCAGCCTACAGCAGTCAAAGACCCCTGCAGAACCAGGAGAGTGCCCTAATGTCTGTCCTGGCACCAGAGTCCATCACAGCTGGGCACAGAGTTGTATAACTTGAACCACATCTGAACTGGCTCCTAAGGACATGGAGTCCTGGAGGGAGTCCAGAGGAGGCCACAAAGATAATCTGAGGACTGGAGCAGCTCTGCTATGGAGACAGGCCAAGAGAGTTGGGGCTGTACAGTCTGGAGAAGAGAAGGCTCTGGAAAGACCTTAGGGCACCTTCCAGTATCTGAAGGGTCTACAGGAAAGCTGGGGAGGGACTTTTTACAGAGGCTTCTAGTGAAAAAAAAAGGGGAAATGGATCAAAACCAGAAGACAGGAGATTTACATTAGGTATTTGGAGGAAAATCCTTAGTATGAGGATGGTGAGACCCTGGAACAGGTTGCCCAGGGAAGCTGTGGAAGCTCCATCCCTGGAAGTGTTCAAGGGCAGGCTGGATGGGTCTTGGAGCAACCCTGGACTAGTGGGAGGAGTCCCTGCCCATGCAGAGGGGTTGGAACTAGATGATCTTTAAGGTCCCTTCCAACACAAACCATTCTGTGATGCTAAGTAAGCAATCCTAAAAAAGGGTGTTTGTCAGAAGTTGAGAGCCTACTATGTGTTTACTTTTTACCTAAGTCTTCACTATTTTAAGTTCAAGTATCAGCAGCTGTAACGGTGATGACAGTTATAAGAATTTTTCTCATAGAGGTGATAGCAAGAAAACTGCATCAGTCTTTATTAAATAGATATTTTAATTTATGGTTGAGGTCAACGACTTCGCTTCTGGACAAATACAAGAAAAGAATTATCTGATAAGTCATATCCACCTGACACAGGGAGGAAAGAAAGAGGGAAAGGAGAGAAAATAATATTGCATTTTCTTTTTGATGAAACCATGTTGGTGATATTTTAGATGGGGTTGTTGAGTTTTATATTCACACTTAATAATGTTATCATTCTCTCAGTAATTAAAGCAAAATGGACAATGTAATTGTTTCAGGTTTGTTTCATTTCTGGTAAAATCAAGCACTCATCTGGCTACTAGAGATAACTAGTAGCTTCGACTGAGTCATTTTTACATATAATCTCACTATGTTTAGACTGAACCTAATGGTAGTAATTGTTTTTAAAACACAAATGGCTAAAGCTTCTTAAGACAGTAATAAAATTATCCCAATTTGAAAACTGTATATCTGCAATGCTAAAACTATCCCATTTCAGGAATAAACTCAAGCAAGTACAGAGTGTTATAAGTAAAAATTGCCTCATGAAGGTTCTAAGGGGTTATTAACACAGTAGAAGTTTTACTTGTATCAAGTATATGCATAGTTATAGCCCTAAATGTGTGGGGGGAAAAAGTGTCTTGTAATTCTCCTGTTTCACAGTATTTATAAGACAGCAGTGCAGGACTCCGTATGTAATTGTACCCATGACATTCCCTGAACAATAGGCCAACCAACCTAGCTGTAAGCTGGAGTTTAAAGAACTACTGGTCTGCAAAACTTATGGCAGGCTTGGAAGAAACTTGACTCTTTCAATAAAAGCTCTGTAGTCAGTTCAATTAATGTCATAAAACAAACACAAATAACCGAGTGCCATTATAGACATACTGTACAGTACTTTGCACATCCCTATAAGCATCTCTAAGCTAAATCTATGAAACATAGCTAAACATATGTAGTTCAGAAAAAAATACTTTCACAAAGTAAATAAAATGAATTTATCCTTTGTAAGTTATACTATTACAGTGAAGGGAGAAATAAAAAGGGAACTCACCTCAGCCTTCACTATTCTATCCACAATGGTCTCCAGTGTTTCCAGCATACTACACTTTACAACACCTTCAAAATACTGAGAACGGTGCTGTAGGGCTTGTGTCACCGTGATATCTAGGTTATTATATGTTTTTTCAGCAGCAAGATTCTGAAAAAAACCCAAAGGCACATAACACATCTCAGTACTTCGTAATAATGTAAATATTTTGGCATCAAGTAGATACACATTTCTGGTGTAAATTGAGTCTGTTCCAAGTCACATACTAAACAAAGCAGATGCCCTTCAGCTTCAGTTTCTGGGAACATGCAATTATGTTAAACACCATATGACAGACTGGGTTAATTGATAAAACTGTTCTGTGATATGCATTAGGCCACTGAAACATCCTATGATGCTGATACTTGGCTTGATGTCACTCATCCTGCTTTTGCCACGAGTAGAAAACAAAGATGGAAGTTCTACAGATTTTAGCATATACAGACTATAAGAATATACAATTTTCCTGTTTGTTTTTCATAGCATAGGGGAGGAGACCAACTTCTCTGAACATGACACATGAAGTGTCATAGTGGAAATCTGAGTAGAGAGCAAATTGAAGATTTCCTTCAACTTTCTTATTTGTGGGCTCAAACTCCCTCTCCTGGACTTTGCTGGCACTGCCATTTGACAACAATTTCTGTGTGCATATATATATATTTCAATGAGTACTATAAAAATAATATAAAAACCCTTGACCACCACTAAAAGTAAGAAGATTAAAAGAATTTGAAAGCTGACATTCTCAGCTTGCCCTTTAAGACCAAGACCATGCTTGTAGCAAGAGGACTTTGTCCAGACAAGCAAAAGCTGCATTTGTAGGTAAGACCATAGCAATATTTTGATGGTGTTGGCACATCCTGGCCTATTGATTTTGTGTACTGAAGCACTGAAGGAAGAACAAAGACTGACTTTTAAAATGAAAACACTGGGCCAAGCAATACAATGAAATTATTTTTTGGCTAGAATATGCTGTGATTGGTCAAGTTTTTGGATTGAATCACAGCAAACATGACAAGATAGGTTTGAGATGATGATGAAGACACAAGCTGTTTTACTTCACTCATTTAACTAATTCCTAATGAAAGACATGAGGAGAATACAAAATCCTCTGTAAACTGAAGTCACCCTACACACAATAATTAGTGTTATATAAAACTACTTTTATACCATCACACCATTCCCAGGTTTCTCCCATCAAAAACATGGAGATTCAGAACTCCATTAAAATGAAATAAATACATCAACTTAGCCAGCTGTGTATACAGGAATAGCTTAACACACCAATTTAACTAAGCGTATCAGCCACATGGTTTAAAGTTAAAAAACACCAGCTGAATCTTACTAATTCTATGTTTAGTGGAAGATCAGACTGTACATTTCAGATTGTTTTTTCTTTTTTCAAGCTTGAAGATCAGGCTGAAGCAGACTGATGAAAAACAGGTTGCCTCAGAGGTGATTATCTTTGAAGAACAGAATCTTTTCCCCCCCATTTAATAAACAAAGTAGTGTATGTGGGGAAAATCACAAATAATTGCTAGATGCCCTAACTCTTTCCTGTGTTACTAGTTAAGAGCAGTTATATACTAAAGATTTTATGGTGGCTTTTTTTTTTCTTGATCCCAATATATCTTTTTTCCAAATAAATCATCCAGTATCTCTTAAAAATTTTTGTTGTTGTTGTCCCATCACTTAAACCAAAAAAAGAAGTGAAAAACATAAGGGACCCTCTTCCTTTGTGTCTTTCTGAAGAAGAATGGAAAAAAAAAAAGGAAACACATCCTGCCTCCAAGTCTAATGCAGTTATAAACTAAAGTGAAACACTGAACTGGCCAAGTGTGAAATTTCTGTGTCTTTGATGTATCACCCCACTACAGCTACTGCCTATTCCCTGACCAGCTTCTGTGGCAGAACAGAATCATTCACAGTAGAGAATCCCTAAGAACAGAAAGACAAATGCCTAGAAAAGACAAGCAGGAACAGTGACGTGGTGAAATTTTCAGTATCAAGAGCACTGTGTGCAGCCAGAGATATAAGCTTATAAGTATTTCCATTTGGGACTATCCTCCATATTTTGGAAAGCATTCTATGTAGTGTTACAGACATCTGGGTTCTTCATTAGCACTAGCAGACTGGTGGAATAAGCAACTTGGGCATTTAAATTGCTAAAAAATAATGTAACTATCAGAAGTTCCAATTAGAAGGCAGGTGCATACAGCTGGGAGGAGACTGGGATAAAAAACCTAGATGTATTTTTCAAGGTTCTGAAAACCATAAGAGCAGCCCTTGCTCTCCCAGGCTGGCAAATCATGGCATGAACCTGACTACACTGTTGCACTCCTGAGGGAAAACCAGAAACAACAGAATGAACCAAGAAGTTTTAATTCACTGAGAGGATAAAGCCACACCAGCCTGCATGGAGGAATCTGCATTCTCTTTGAAAACAGTCAATCCTCTCTCAAAAATACAATCAAACATAAAAAGTCTATGCCCTCTTTTTGTAAGAGTACAGCCAGATCTAATTTTGGGTAACAGCCAGAACAGTAGATGCCTGTATGCAAGTGGTATTACTAAGGATAGCTTACATAAACAAACAAACAAAAGTAATGCTGGACTGGGTGAATTGCATCTGTTTTATTCAGTTTGTTAACAAAAGCCTAAGGAAGAAAATAGCAAAAAAATTACATATTAACAAATTAATTTGGAAATGCTCATTGCATATATTTTTAAAAAACAATTTAAGAGTTATACTTACTATTACATCAAATTTGGAATAAATATCTACAACTTTTCCTAAAAAGAAAAACAAAAGTTAATAAAGTACTTAAAATAGACTTTTTTTGCTTCCTTTGTTATCTTTTAATTACAAAAAAAGAAAAAGGTCAAGAAGGAGAGACGGAAGAAAACCCCAAACAACCTACCAAACCATGAAGTTCTTCCAAGCCTATCAACCATTTTGCATAAATATTTCTTTATACTCCCTTTCTCCCCCCACCTTTTATTTTTATTATTCTTTCTCCTCCCTCTCTATCAATCCAGGACTCAGCAGCATTTATCTTCCCACACTTTTATACACAGAAGACCCAACACACACCTGACTCATCCACAACAGGTAATGCCGATATCCTTCTCTCTACAAATATATTCAAGGCTTTAATGATAGGAGTGTCTGGATGTATGAAGGCAATGTTGTGGTAAGTTCCTATTCCAAGTTCATCCAGATTCTTCTTCATAAAGGCAGGCTTTGGCATCTCTGACATCTAGGAAAGTCAGAATGAACGTATTTACAGTGCAGTTTTCTGCACCTACCATGCTTTCTACACCTACCCTGCTTCCCTATGATTGTCATGTATGTTAGGTAATAACTCATCCACCTGCTGACTCCAAAGGACTGGTACAGATTGTTATAATCTCCTATGACATTAAGGTCAAGCCAAAAGAAGCTCAGATCTAGAAGCATTATTTCTGTTCAAAGAAGCTCTAAATTAAGACTATAACTATTTATTTTTCTCTCATTTTATATTTATTTTTGTAGTAACCCATCACTAAAAGCCTTTAATCCTAAACTGTGTCATTCCCACTGAAACTGGAGAGAGAGGACAGCAAAACATACTATACACTGACTGCTTATTTTGAACTCGTTACTTTGTTTGGCCTCCTGTTTGTCCCTGTGACTGACAGAAGCTGCCACAGTGAGTAATGGTAATTTTGTCTCTGGGAAACTCATTTTTCCACTCATAAACAAGCTTCTGAAGCTGAGCAGATATTCCAGAGAAGACAGCAAACTACTCAAATGGCCAAAAACAAACACCTTGGTGTTTAGATTTCATTAAATGACTGAATCAAATTAAAGGTAATGTACAGGTGCTACATCAAGCTTTCATTTCTCTGTTATAAAAAGAGATACATTATGAATATGGAGGTTTATAAAGAAGTTTCTGTCTAAGACTTAAATTAACTTAAAGATCTCTACTGGGGGAAAAATAAATCAGTTAAACAAAGCGTAACTAAATACTTACAAAAAGCTGGAGGAACTTGAGGATTCTTTTATGGGTAAGTATATAAAGTGCATTTCCACTGACGGGATCTATAACTGGCAACCTGTGGATTTTGTTTTTGATCAATGAATATACAGCATCAAAAAGGCTGAGGAGAAAAAAAATAAATTAAAAGTCAGTTCTAGCTACAATAACTAACATCAAATTATACAAACACATGTATAAAACTCCATGAAGTACATCTTGTGAGTAATCTGTATTACCTTTAGCATTTTAGAAAACAGAAGAAGAATTAACTTTTGCAGCTGGTAAAACAGATTAACAACAAAATGCTCATGAACATCTAAAACCAGTAAGAAAATGTGATGGAAATACAGAACATTTTTGTGGCAGAAAGAGTAGCAGAAATATTTTTGTAAAAGTATAAATTGTTTTTCCAGTGAGTGCTGTGCTTGCAGCATCCCTGCACTCAGACTGGGTATTTCTGATCAGAGACAAAAGTAAAAAATTGTTTTCCTGCCCTTAATGCATCTCAGTCCCAAAATTCTGTAACATTTTCTTGGAAGAACTTTTTAATAGTTAAGTGCATATAGCACACAAGCACCACAATTACCTAATCATTTCACTGAATTATCATTGGGGATTGGCAGAAAGTTATTCTCAGAAGATCTGAAACATTCCTGCAGACACTGCAGACTACAATTTAGCAATACTCCAACTGCTGCCATTCTGCTCCTCTTGCAAGTAACATTCTGCCGTCTCTTAGTCCTAGTGAGACTAGGATAAAACAGCTGACCAACAAATTGCAATAAATTGGTAAAAAAAGTTAGTAAAACGTTGATAAAAGCCTATTTGCTGGAGGAGGCTTCTTCCCATACACAATATGTTCCGAGTCTATTACAGGGATGAACTGTCCCCACCTGATACATGTGGAGTCAAGATTCCCACCATTGCATTGTACATTCTACTTCTGGAGTGAGCATTTAACAGCTCCTAAGACCTGAAATCTGATTGTCCCAGAACCCAAGTCCATTACTGTGTCAGGTCTTAAGCTGACTTGCGGTATCATTCTATACATGTCCTGTACATGTCCTACACGTGCATCTTCTTTATTGCAATACTTCTCTTGCTGCATCTTTCACTGAAAGCAATTATGCTGGTTTGTTATCTTAACAATATTCTTTGCAACCAATGACCATTGAAAATTCATTCCTTATGACTTAACTGAACAGCTTATTAATGATTTAGTGGCAATTCTATTGATAGAGCACATCATTACTTTGAGGTAATCACTAGAGTTCCCTTCACCAGGTTCCTTGGATAGGGAATAAGCAATCTATTCCACAAACTGAAAGCAAGAATCAGGACTTCACTCTTCAGTTGAGCAATTAAGCAGCACTCAAGCTGTTAAATGATCAACAAAAGCACTCCATCTCCAGGTACCTTTGGTAGATAAGATATAATGGCAGTTAAAACTATTTCTTTCAAACTCCATCAAGAAGGACTGGACAGTTATTTACACTTTGAGGAACACAATCAGGTAGTAAAGAACAAGACACACAGATATTGTATTTTCTTTAGTTAAGGAAAATTACTTGCATTGAAAAGTACCGTAGGTTTTAATTACTATGATTGCAGAGAGCAAGGCAGCTGAAAGGCTCTGCACAATTTTTTCTTTTCATGAAATAAACACAACTTGAAAACTAGCTTGAAGGTGTCCATGTCTAGTTTATTACCAGAACAGTTACACTGATAAAAAGCAAAAGTTAAACTAGAAATTCTCTTCTTTGGATAATTAAAGAGTCCTCACTTGCAATAAATACTCTCACACCTTCTTGATTATAGTCCATTGTTGTACTCTAGTTCGTAACATAAATTGTTTCTTATTATATACACACTTACATTAAGTACTGAAATAGAGTTAGTTTATTTCAAGTTAAGGAGACTGAAAAGCAAAATCCTACCTTGCATCTGGGGAGATGTTCACTAAAGGTTTAAATGTCTCTTGTAAATAAAGCTCTGTGTATAGAAAATTAATAAACAATTACCTGTTCATACTAAAACGTTAACTTTTAAATGAAAGCATTTTATTAATTAATACATAATTAAGGGGAATAAAAAGAGCAATATAGTTACTTTAGATATTCTACCACTAAAGCAAATGCCTCTGTATTAACATTAAAGAGACAAGCTTTAAAAGCTGAACTAAACTGACTACCAGCAGGGGTCACTGCAACAGCAGCAAGTAATTCTTTAGCAGTTCCTTTTCTGAGCGGGTCTGCTGCATAAAGTACTTATATGTATATATATTACTCCATAGCCTATAGTCCAGTTTTGACATAAAGCTTCCTTCCCAAATCCAGCACTTCTGTTCATACCCAGTATGTTCTATACATTTCTAGTCACTCACAAAACTCCTGAGCATTGCTTTTTGCTCATCTGTCAGATCACTCAGTACTGGGTCATCTATTCATTCTGCATTCTGGCCTAGATACATCTCCATTCCACGTATACTCATCAACTCGACAGTCATACATGCTGCCTGACTCCACTTTTGTTTATTGCTTTTTTTTCACTGGAAGAGCAAGATGGCACTAACGTTGAACAAGTGGCAAAATACCATATAACCCAGATCACTCAAGTCTACATACTGTTTCAGGTAGAAAAATTAGCAGCAGAAGCCAACAGACAAGCTTTTACTGCTCTTGCTTTTGTTAAAAAGGATGGAGAGAGACAAGCTAAGTCTATGATTATTTTAAAACTATTGTACTGAAAAGCATTAGAGAATTTTAAGTTATCAACCAAGTAGTAAACATTCTTACCCCTCCAGGTTTCTATCTTGTGCTCCTCCAATTCATAAATCTGGACCTACAATGGGTAGATAGAAAGTTTAACTAAACGTACTAATTTAAATCCCATTATCATTAGCAATATTATAAATAGCTGAATTATTTCCTTACATTCCATTGCAGGCAATTCAGAGCAAGAACAGTTTAGAGCAACATTTCTTGGCAACAAGAAGAAAAGGAGCAATGGTAATGGTTTTAAATTAAGAGCAGGGAGATTTAGGTTAGATATTAGGAATAAATTCTTCATTCCCTGTTCATGCAGGGGGGTTGGAACTTGATTATCTTTAAAGGTCCCTTCCAACCTTAATGATTCTATGATTCAATCTCACTCAATACAGCATACTATACTGGACCTATTGTTCCAGGGGACAGGAAAGATCTTTTACCTACCTATGTTTGTAATTTAGTTCTCTTCTAGACTCAAAGGCATCTTCTCAGCATTTTATTCTATTCTATGCCAGAGTAAACCCTATGATGATTCCTCACACACTTAGGGCAGTAAAAAGCTTAACCTGATCACTTGACTTCTTAATACTAACAGAGAGGAACTTTACTGTTCCTTGATTACAAACGAGCTACAGCACTTGGTTTGGTGCTCAGGTCAATCAGAACCAACATTGGATCCTTGCCCAAGTTTAATTTTTTACTGATGTTACATTCTTCAAATGATTTTGGACACTGCATCTAAGCCATGCATGCTCTGGACATTTCTTCTGTGCCAGCAAAGTTGCTCATCTGACCTGTGTTCAGTTGGTCCCAGGAGCCAAACAGGCAAAAAAAGTTACAAAAATGTTGTTGGTTTAGTGCTGGTTAAGCTTCTTGCACTGGCTCACAAAAAAACCCAACAAAACAAAACAAAAAAAACAGGCAAATGATACTGGACCAAGGATGTGGCAAATCAGCACCTTTTGATGGCATCTTACCATCAGATCAGATCAGCAGTAACATCACACCACCCTCAAAGTCCAGTCTTTGCAATTGAAGAAAAACAAACCACAAACTCAAACCAAAACCAACAACAAAGACATGGTCACATCACCAACTTCCTGCTGCTCAGCAGTTGTTTCACAAACTGCCATCCCTTACACAGCTCTTCTGTCAGGCACCTCTGCAAACACTGCTGAAGCTGAGGAGCTTATAGCTGAAGGGTAGAAGTCTCCACAAAGCCTACAACATTCATCTTTGAGCTAAAGGAGACTACACTAGAGATTACCCTATGCATCCTTTGAAGTGTGTAAGGGAATGTTAAATTGATACACTATCATTAGACTACTTAAATATACCATTTTTGGCTGACATAAAAGGTACCTACAGAAGTTAAATAATCCTTTAGAGCAGTTGACAGAAAAAAGGCAGTCAAGACAGTGGAGTGCAGTTCAGAAGACCCAGCTGGTGATCAGAAGATGAGGAGACTGCTTTAGGTGCTGATAAGGCCAAACCTACCTCTTGGACCACGCTATAGAGATAAACTGTTGGGATGTTCCTCATCAATCATTTAAAGAGATTAGCTAGGACCTGAACAGCAACATGCTTCACGCTCTGTGTGTTGTGAGGCATTTTAGAAAGAATGACTGAAACACTTAAGAATTATATTTTCAACCTAATTTTACCTAGTAAGCCTAGAGCATTCCCTGATGGAACATCAATTTATTTCTTTTTACAGAAGACTGCATCAATCACTTAAGTAAAATGTTGTCAACTTCTCAGCTATTCATCTTTACTGCTGTCATTTTAAGGACAACCTATGGAACAGGATGTTAAACAATGTAAACAGGAGTGACAACAGTCAGATCTTCAGTAAAATTACATGGAAAAAATGAGTAGTATTGAGGTTGAAGGTCACTGCAAAATGGAAACCAATTTAAGGAAGTTGCCAATATGCAATCACTTGTCATTTGCTTCTCTCCCTATCCCTTGTAAATCTCCAGGAGAGGGAAGTTAAATTCTCTAAGAAGAAAGGACAGTGGACCACACAACTGGCATCTGACAGGAATTTCAGTGTAAATTTTGAAAATTAAGATGAGCTTTGAGAAGACTAATATATCAGATATCTACTTCACCTAACTGTTCTTGATTTTTCAGCTAATAAAACCTAGCACAGATGTTTGTATTGGTAGAGGGAGAACAAGAAAGGGGGAACAAGAAAGAACAAGAAGGGGGATGTAGATGTTTCTATCAACAGGTAAGCTAGATAATTTTATCAACTGCCTGACAATGAGAATTTTACATTAGTTAATTGAAATCAACAGATCTCCAGCTGATTATACAACTCAGCCATGTAACTAAAATATCTGCATCTAGATATAACTAGTTTAACTTGTTTATTCTACACCATCACTCCAAGACCAGAGTAACCTTTTAATGGATCCAAGCTTCTCTAAGTTAGCATTGTGCTTAACTCTGGAATAGCTCTATCATAGTTATGAGACAAAGATCATTATATAAATATGTGAACCACACATCACTACGTACTTGATTTTTAAATACAATATACTTTTTGGTGTAAAATGAAGGCATCCTCCTCAAGTGTTTTTTGATTGATATTCACCACTTATAGAGCTCTTATTACTATGAAAATAGGTGCTTTGAAACAACTGAACATAAGTACAATGATCAATAATCAAGCATTGAAACAACTGAACATAAGTACAATGATCAATAATCAAGCATTTCCCTTCATAATTTTTGTATCACATCTAGTTTTTAGCAGGTACATCAAGCCAAGTCCTTCATCTCAAATGCATTCTTTATTAGGTGGAACACTAAGTGGAGCTTTGTATCCAAAACAAAGGCTATCATTATGGGAAGCACTACACAAAACATAATAAAAGGTAGTACTCATTAAGGAAATTCCTCATGCTTATACATACAACTGAAGCAGACAGATAATACTATCTGCCCAAGCTTTAGCTTTTACAGCTAAAGCTGGGAACTGAAACAAGTTATCCAGATACCATTCTATCGGCCAAAAAAACCCCAAAGTGAGTATACCCATGTCATAACTAAACTTCCAAAAGACTTGAATAACAACAATCATCATCAATCTTTCAGTTTGCTATTTCAGTCTCTGTATTGTGTGGCAAATGACAAAAGTATAGCTTAACATCATACTTACCATTGGAGATTTATAGTATCTATGCAGTATGTTAATGAAATCTGTAATTGTTAACATTCCTGTAACAAGTGATACATAAAAAAGGTTTTTCAGATATATGCTTAACATACAGAACTTCCAGCTATTTTCTCTATTTCTATTCCCAATATAAAATTTAATAAACATTAAATCCATATAAGATACTATTTGTATTGGACTAACCAACAGTGGAATTCCCAAATTTTCTATATTCACTTCTATATTGATACTTCAGAATAAGAAAAGCACAACTGAATATAAAAAATTAAACTAGATCTTTCTGCTCTTCTTTCAACCTGATTCAAAGAAAACTTGAATCCAGACTGCATCCACCCCCAAAAATAATGGAAAGAG